TAATGAACATATTTTGTCGTTATAAAATCCCCGTTCTGTGAGAATTTACTCGTTTCAAGACAGATTTTCTAGAAATGTTTGGTGCAGCATTTTCAATGGCTAACTGTTTATGCACGTATTACCACAACGTTTAAATGCAGCTTTTCTAGAGAATCACATAGAAAATGTGTTAGATGATGTTCCGTTAGCAACACACTGCGAGGTCTCCTGATTTGAACCCCTTGATTTCTTTTTGTTGGGCGCTTTTAAACAACTAGTGTATGCTGAAAAAATTAATACTGTTGATCAGTCACAAGAAAGAATAGATAATGTGTTTCATCAAATTCGAGCCACAACAAACTTTGCGGAAATACGTTTTCCTTGATGAAAATTCTGCACTTGTATCCGTCAAAATGACATTTATGGAAATAAAGCTTTGATTATCTAATTTTTTTTATTTTTACGAAAACAATGCATTCTAGGAAAAAATGAGTAATTATTTGTATCAAATTGAAGATAAAATTCGAAAAATTGCGCGTTTCGAAAAAAGAAAAGGTGGCGTACTATTTCTATTTGGAAAAATAATGCCACTAACCCTGTATCTCCGCCACTGGTGCACGTTAGTTTTAAGTAAAGACTTTTGAATGTGAACAATACTTAGGTAAATCCGCATGTCAAATTTTATTCATTCCAGTTATCGGTTTTGAAGATATTAAATAAATTTTCTAAATATTCAAAACTGAGGAAGCATCTCTATAACAGGGGCTGAGCTGAGCTATGTAGAAGATGTGACCAGGAAGATGAGACAGTCAAGCACTTGCTTTGCGACTGTCCTGTCATATACTAAGTGACATTAAATCCGAACACCCAGTTTAAATGGTTTTATTTTAATAAAAGTTGGTGAATGTATTTACCTTACTGTGAATAACAAGTGAAAAAATTTTCAGCCTTATCAGTTGGACATTCCGGTTTTTATACTGCTTTTTTTAAATTCACTAACGCTCTAAAAATGAATATTTCAGCCGCAGTAAAGAATCAACGTTGGCGGATTTTCTTTCTTGACATCCTTTACGATCGGTTACGATGCCTAGAGTACGGAGACCTGTACGATTTCGTCAACTTAGTGAGTTTGATAGGGGCCGTATAGTGGGACTTCGGGAAGCTGGACCTTCTTTTCGGGCAATTGCAGTTAGAGTGCAAAGAAGTGTAGACACTGTGTTTAGGTGTTGTCAGGCATGGCTTCGAGAAGGCCGTACGCAAAGAGCAAGGGGCACTGGACGCCGCCGTAGAACAACAGACCGTGAAGATCACCGCCTAAGATTATTGGCCTTAAGGGACCGTTTCTCCACTACCAGGTCCATTGCAAATGAATGGTTTGCAGAACACGGAAGACCTATTGGCATGCGAAGTGTTTACCGACGAATGAGAAGTTTTGGCTTGTTTTCATACCGGCCAAACTGGGTCCTCCCTTTAACTCGAGAACACCGACGTAATCGCCTTGAGTGGTGCAGACAACGGTCACTCTGGGATCAGGAATGGAACAGTATTGTCTTTAGTGACGAGTCTCGATTTTGTTTAGGCATGCACAATGGTCGTGCCAGGGTTAGAAGGCGACGTAGTGAAAGGAGGAATCCACAGTTTTTTGTTGAAAGACATGTTCATCACACTGTTGGAGTTATGGTTTGGGGTGCTATAGCTTATGGTTCCAGGTCACCTTTAATCTTCATCAGAGGTAACATGAACGCGCAGCGTTATATCCACGAAGTTCTAGAATCCCATCTTTTACCCTATCTTGACACCCTGGCAGATCCAACTTTCCAACAAGATAATGCCCGACCACATGTTGCAAGAGTCACAATAGACTTCTTTCAACATAATGATGTCACATTGTTACCATGGCCACCAAGATCTCCCGACTTATCCCCAATTGAGCACGTGTGGGATATGATGGGTAGGAGATTGCTCAATTTGCAACGTCCTCCTCAGACTCTAGAAGCACTTCGAGATGAGTTGGTGGTTGCCTGGAATGAGATACCACAGGAGGACATTGACCACCTGATCAGAAGCATGCCTAGGCGCGTTGGAGAATGCGTAGCACATCAGGGTGCATCCACACATTATTAAAGGTCAAAGGGCTTTAAAGCAGTGCAATCATTTTGAAATTTTTATCATTTACTTATTATGCTTCATTAAGTACTTATACAAATTTTTATTAAAATAAAACCATTTAAACTGGGTGTTCGGATTTATATGTCACTTAGTATAGTTACCACAGCACACTGAGCGTAGTGGAGCAGCTGTGAAGGCAGTGGAATCACCAATAACAAGCTCACCTTTAGTCTAGGAATGCACCATTGCTCTTCAGGACCGAGCCGGATCTAAAGAAGTGAACCTTCTTTGGTCCCTGGACACAGTAGAATACCGGCTAACGAGACAGCCGATTATCTGGCTTGGCAGAGGGCTAGAAGTTCCTGCGTCGGTCCCGAACGATAAACATCCTCCAAGTTAACTCTACATTGAACAAATGAGATTAGTTACGAAGCCCGACAAACATGAATACTGGACAGAAGTAGGGAATCGCTCAATTTTCTGGTGTGGGTTCTTACCAGCCAGTGTTGTCTGAACAGGCACTTGTCCTTGTTAAGGGTAAACAGACATAATATCAGCCCCATGTGCTGGGAGGGCGTCGCGTGCTGTCTGTCCCAACCTGCCAACCTTTTCAGTGGGCTTTAAAGCAGTGCAATCATTTTGAAATTTTTATCATTTACTTATTATGCTTCATTAAGTACTTAAACAAAATTTTATTAAAATACAACCATTTAAACTGGGTGTTCGGATTTATAAGTCACTTAGTATATCAATCCAAGAATCATTCTGGGGGAACGATGGCCTTCTATGGCTAGTGTAAGGGAGCTCCGGTTGGGTCACATCGCCGCCTTTTTCGATAATCTGGGGTGGCTGACGATCCAGACCTGAACGACCCCAGCTAAGGACGTACAAGAGGCCCAAAGGCGCTCAAGTGATCTGACCTTGGTTGGTTGCCCTTCTTCCTATAAAGGACACAGATTTCCTCCCTTCAACGTTTTCAAGGATTCTTGTTTGTTTAAAATCCAACGTGAGATCACATCACGTTTATAAACGTAGACGCCTATATTCCGCAGCAAGCTCTTGTTCTATAGGAACTATTGTTATTTGTTCAGAACATCAAAACAGCTTCATCGTAATTCACAAGCAACCGCCGCATCCTCATAATAGATCCTGAATTATAAAACAAAAACATCTTTCGAATTGAAATCGTAATGGAAAGCACTTTGTTCTTGCTCCCAGCAGCTCTCGCTTCCATAAGCAATTTGGCCTTTTAAGGAAAATTTGGCATGTAAAGCCTTTGATTCGATTACACGAAGTCGACATTATTGGGTACGTTCCAAGGTAAATCCGATTCTTCAAGTGCTACTTCGCCCTAGTTTATTGAAGTAATGTTTAAAGGTACAGAGTAGCTTCTGGTAAACGACGGCCATGTAGCTCTTTGTACAAGTCACAGGGAAAATTGAAATTTTAATCAAGTATTCTATTGAATTTTCCAGACGTCTAGACAGCAGAACGGCTGGGATACAAGCAAAACGTATGCAAAATCTTTCCAACTGATCCTTGTTTTCTTTACTGCGATAAATTGGAAGGACTCGAGATTGTCAATGTAAATGTTCTATCAACCGTTTGAAATTATATTTCTTATGTACCGGGTGGTTAGTTTAAACTAACCAGATGAAAGAGCAAAACCTAAATACGAGTATACAGGGTGTCCGCAAAGTTGGGGTTTTCCTTTACACGACGTGTAGATCTTGAAAACATAAGCAATTTTTCTTAGTACCATATACACCAATATCTTAAGCGAACCGAGATAAAGGGCTCTGCAACATCAAAAATATCTGAATACCGTCCTGTAGCCGCGACATCCCCGACTGGTACTAGGACACTAGCTCAACCCGACGACAGAACTGGGTCGGGGTCAGTGTGTCAGGTCAGTATGCAACCTTCAACCGACGGTTACGGTCACGCGTCTAGAGGTAATCGCGTAGACGAGAATCCCTCAACAAGCACTAGAGACGTGGCTAGAGAAGTGCAAGTATCAAAAACTAAAGTGTGGCAAACGCTGCGTGAAGAGGGGCTGTATCCGTTTCACGTCCAATGTGTACAAGCCCTTCAACCTGACGATTTTCCAGCAAGAGTGCGGTTTTGTGAGTGGTTGTTGCATCAACATGACAATAATCCGGACTTTTTGAAGTGCATATTGGTGACAGACGAATCTACGTTCACGCGTAATGGGGTGAATAACTTTGACAACACTCATGTTTGGTCAGGAGAAAATCCTCACGCTGACCGTCGGGCACATTTTCAACAAACATTTTCGGTGAATGTTTGGGCTGGCATGGTGAACGGTATGCTCATGGGACCATTTATTCTCCCAAATCGATTGGGCGGGATGCAATACCTAGACTTTTTACGAAACATTTTGCCTTCCTTGTTTGCCTGCATCTGCTCGGTAGCGCATCAGCTGATTTCATTTTCTGTTGGAGCGGTATGATTTCGGGCAGAGACGTACTTAGCCCTTTTCGTCAACTGGAGAGTGAGTACTTTTTCCTTTATTTTTTTTTACTTGGTCGCCCTCGTTTCACTACACGTCCCCTTTGTTATTTGAAGGGTAGTTGTTTCTGAAAAGGAAAACCCCAACTTTGCGGACACCCTGTATTGTTATTGCTGTAGGAGAGTCAAAGAGTCACGAGTTATAAGGTCGAATAGATAATACAGGGCTATTACAAAAGAATCATCGGGTTTTAAAAATTTATATTTCAGAGAGTATTGCAAATATAATATCAAATGACATATCGCTAGAAAAGGAAAATGTTCGAGTTTAAAGCACGTGCTTGCGAACGCCGCTTTACCTCCCTAGGTAACGCCACGAGCTCAGTATACAAAATGGCGACTATGCAGCAAAAAGCGTTTTGCGTGTTAGACTACGCGCGATGATTATCGGTTGTATTGACAATTCAAGAAGACAGGTTCCATTACTAAACGTAAAAGTACCGGAAGACCACGAGTTCCTGACGAAATGGTGGACGCAGTTAGACACAGTTTCAGGCGTTCTCCGCGACAGTCCACTAGCAGAGCAGGAAGTGAACTTGGTATTCCCCAGCCAACCGTATGGAAAATTTTGCGGAAACGATTGCGATTCAAACAGTACCGTCTGCAGATGCTACAAAGCTTACGACCTGACGACCACGTAAAGCGACTTGATTTTTCTTCTAACATGCAGGAGGCAATGGAAGACGACGAATTTGCTAACTGTCTGGTATTCAGCGACGAAGCGACATTTCATTTAAGTGGAAGGGTGAACCGTCATAACATTCGGATATGAGGTGTGGAAAATCCGCATATGATTGTGCAACATGAAAGGGATTCTCCAAAATTGAATGTCTTCTGTGCAATATCCAAAAATAAAGTGTACGGGCCTTTTTTCTTTCATGAAAACACTATGAACGGTTCATCCTACTAACAGAAGATTCTAACAACTTCATATTCCAACAAGATGGAGCTCCGCCTCACTGGCATTATGAGGTGCGTCAGTATTTAAACGAGGCACTGCCTCACCGTTGGATTGGCCGAGGTACTGCACAAGATTTGGTATTGTTCGCGTGGCCTCCCAGGTCTCCCGGCCTTGCACCATGCGATTTTTACCTTTGGGGTTACATTAAAGATATGGTTTTCATACAACCTCTGACAACAACATTGGGTAAACTCCGGGAACGCATTACTACTATTATTAACAATATCGATCGAGACACATTGCAGCATGTATGGGCCGAACTGGACTATCGTTTGGACATACGTCGTTTGACGCAAGGAGCCCACATCGAACATTTGTAATAACATGCTTAAAATCTTGAATATTTTGCCTTTCCATTGACATGTCACTTACTGTTATATCTGTAATACCTTCAGAAATATATATTTTTAAAACCCGATGATTCTTTTGTAATAACCCGGTATAGTTGAGGCAACAGCTTCCCAGAAGATATGGAGTGATAATCCAAGCCAGACTTTATCTGGGTTTCTGGAAAGAACGTTGAATGGTGAAAAGTAAAATACGAGATAATTAAGAAAGGAATCATGCTCTGAAATGTTCAGTCACTTTTAGTTGAAATCTAAATTACCTTGTGAAATTTCGTTTAATTTAAGTCGGTAACGTTTAAAACTGCAAGATTTGTGTCACATTACCTGATACAAATAAGCTATTTGAAATAATAAAAAGCTTTAAGCAAACAAAAATGTATTGGTTTTATTATTTAAGTATATATGTTTTGCATCTAGCCGAGCATTTCAATATTCATCCCACAAAATTTTGGTTTTGTTTTTAGAGTGGCTTTGATGCTCGTATATTAAAACTGATCGATTTGATCAACCATTAATATTCCCACAACTAATGTCTATTACTAGAGGAAATCCATTGATGTCCATTAATCTTAACGTATAATTAATACTATCACTAGGAACTCGCTCACATTATCTACTTTAGGTAAGAAGCGTCGTCTTCAATCGTTGGACGGAATTGTAGTTGTCCAGCAACTAAAGAGCTGCTGCATGGGGGTATCGATGTAGCCTTTCTTTGAGTCTGGCCTCCACTTCCTTAATCTCGTTGATATGTACATAGGCATTTACCATATTCCTTAGAACTTTATTTTGGAATCCTTAAATAATTTCGATGTTGGAACTCTTAGAACAGCCCCATAGTTGACAACCATAGAGCCGCACGGGTTTTAGGATCTGATAATAGATCGTGATTTTGTTGAAGATCTTTCCAATAACCAATAATACTGCTTGTTTCCAAGGTTCAGTTCTTCCCTATTTATCTGGAGCTTCCATTTGATCCTGCTGTCAAGGGTCATACCTAAATATTTAGCATTTGACTCCAATGGTATAATGGTGCCATTAATGCTTATTTTTAGGAGAACTCGTCAATCCTCGGTTTGTAAAGCAAATGGTCGATTTCAATTCGTTCTAATTGATTTTTTACCCCTGAACCAATTCCGTAGCACCTGCAAGTACGCAACTGTTACATTGGCCATAGCAGGAGTATCTGATATATACTATATATATAGAAGATAGAGTACTGGACCTAGACGTACTCCAACTTTGATATCCAGGAGATCAGATTACTCAGCTTCTTGATTAACTCTGAAGGTCCCGATTGGTATATATGACGTAATTTTCTCGATGAACTGTCTTGGAAGAAGAACGCTTATTTTATTAAAAAGTTTTTCATGCTAAACTTTATCGAATGCCTGCTCGACATCCGGGAATAGAGCACTGCAAAATTCTTTTCTCGATTGAGCACACTCCTTAATGTCTGTGACGCGATGGCAGAAGTTGACAAACGCTAAGAAAGTTGTTTCGGTCCTGGTTTTTTATCGTCTGACTAGTTTTAAGTAACTCCTAGTTAATTTTATTGTGCAAAATTTTGTTAAAATCGGTGCAATAGTGGCTAAGATATGTGATATTTAAGACTTGGTGTGTTGATAAATCATGGAAAAATGAATATACGAGTACTCGTAGAGGGATGCTTGAATCGTCTGACCTTCATTTTCGAAAACCCAGACCCGACTTTTATTTTGGATTGGAATATACAAGGGCTGATTCAGAGGGGGCGCCCCCCCCCCTTGGACGCCCAGGTCTGCCATTTGTTTCAATGAAAATTGTAACTTAGTGTAAAAATAGTATTCCACCCCTCGCTCTTTAGTTGTTACCAGGGCATTTGCCCTTAGAAGCGCTGCGCAAGAATACTGCTACCACTACTACAACCCTCCCCACAGACAGATTCCTAAATCCGTATTCGAGAATATCATAAAAATATATTGAACTTTCGACACCAACTTACGATACTATTATCTCCAGATTCAAGAATTTTCAGAATTGTTTGCACCAAGTTACTGTTGTCATGCTCTGTGCGTCAGTTGATGTGTAGGGTACCCGAAGGTTTTCTAACTTTTAAATGATGTCATATAATCCCCAATGTTTCATACAGAAATGTTCAGGGTTTCTGCTAATTGTCAATATGGGATTTGTCATTCTTTCATTATAGCCTCTCTCGCACGTTCTACCTTCGTTATGTAACTATCGAACTTGATCAACATACAACAACCACAAATGTCTTTCATGTTTGCAGCAAATTAGGATAAGTTCCGGTGTGAATGCATTGATAAACATATTCCGCATGGCGTTGAATCCCTCTAATTCACACTTGTGAATATTTGCGAACTCATCCTCCCAACCCCAACTCTAGTATTCGTTTTTCTTCTACTCTTGACAGTTGATAAATTTGTAGTGATGCCAAGATAATAACAGTAAGCATCTTTGTTATTTTAACATATAGTGGTTGAACCTAATAACATTTATTTTTCCGTTCAACTAAAAGAGGCGAAGTGTAGTGTAATATAACATGATCAAACGAACTTACCTGTAAGTGATAAGTGATGTTTGATCTTAATTATGTGAAGTCCACGTCGAATTAAATATTTAGAATATATATCGTAGTACCCTCGTAGTAGTACCCAACGCCACGATTTCAAAGCGCGCGCGCATAGAAGGAAACTGGCACCGCGCTCCTTCCCTCTACCTTTCTCCCCTCTGCCCGCCAATAAACCTTTATTTACTTCAAAGCCAAGTTGTTGCAACAATTGGGTGATACATAGGGAGAGAGCTATTTACTTCGACGAGGACTTCACATAATTAAGATCGAACGTCACTTACAGGTAAGTTCGTTTGATCATGTAATTATGTTCCTACTTCGTCGAAGTAAATATTTAGAATATATATCGTAGATGTTGACTGAAGAGCAGAAAGCAGCCAGGGTTAATTGGTGTCAAAAAACGCTTGACCGTTTCAATTCCGGAAACTCAAAAATGTGTACTGCATTGTTCGTGGTGATGAATCGTGGATTTACTGCTAAGAACCAGAAAATAAACGACAGGCGGCTGTTTGGGTGTTACAAGGTAAAGAAAAGCCAACAATGTCATCCGTTCTCGAAGGGTTTCGATAAAGATGGTTGCGACATGTGTGTCAAAAGCGGGTCATATTGCAACAATTCCTCTTAATGAGCAAAGAACTGTTACTGCGGATTTGTATACCACCATTTGTTTGCCAAAAGTCATCACCGAGCTTCGAAAAATCAACCCCGAAAGAAGAATCATCCTCCACCAAGACAATGCAAGCTCGCACACAGCCTAAAAAACAAGGCAGTATTTAACGGAAGAAAACGTGGAATTATTGGACCATCCTCCATATAGTCCTGATCTAAGTCCTAACGATTTCTTTACCTTCTCGAAAATTAAAAACAGACTGCGTGGTCAAAGATTCTAGGCACCAGAAAAAGCAGTTGACGCATTATAAATGCCGTTTTGGATCTGCCAGCAAATGAGTGGAATAAGTGCTTCGAAAATTGGTTCGAGCGCATGCAGATGTGTATTAATTTTCGTGGAGAATACTTCGAAAAACAATAAAGTAATTTATCCCTCTATCAGATCCTTGCGTTACTTCCAGAAGTGAAATTTTAGAAACACCGAATACTTGAACCAAAATTAGGTGCAGCTCCGACTCCGTTTCCACGTCTCACTGACGCAAAAACTCATGTGCACCAGTATTACTCCTAGATTTTATATTTGACGCGAGGGCAGTAAGATTTCTCTCTTTACACAATTGCCGTAGTTTTCCCGCAACCTGGTCCAGACGTGGAAACCAGAAGCTCTCCAGAGGAGAGAAAGGTAGAGGGAACGGGCGCGGTGCCGGTTTCCTTCTCTGCGCGCTCGCTTTGAAATCGTGGCGGTTGGGTACTACTACGAGGGTACTACGATATGTATTCTAAATATTTACTTCGACGAGGACGGAATATAATGACCAATCTAACGTTTATTTTGTGGCTCTAGCACGACTTTTCGTTGAAAAAATTTGTGGTGGCTCTGGTCAGATCTGTGATTGGACAGCTGAGCTGATGAAAGCCAGTCTTGGCTTCAAATACAATAAATATTTTCAAGTGTTCTTTTTTCCCAAAAACGTACATACGTTATATGTATATAGAGCTCTTGGATATACATTAAATATTAGAATACCTCATCACTGCACCTCGAATTTTCAACGTTCATTTTCTTATAATGCTGCTAGTCGCTATAATAATATTCCTGATTATTACAAAACCATGAATCTGTCTTGTTTCCGTAAGCATGTTACACAGCTCTACGTTATAATGTTTCTTTTCTTTGTTAAATTTTTGTTAATAATACATATATTTGTATATATTTCTAGGCATTTAAGTAGCTACATGTTTGATTTAACTGCTTTCAATACCATTGTGACATTGCAATAGCAAAATTTTATTGTTTTGTATCTCCCATACCATCTTTTCTTTTTCGTATTCATATGGTTAAGTGTAAGAATAGCTTTAGCTAATCTTCGCCATAATGAATCACACTTCTGTACTTTTGTAAATAA